TCGTATCCTCAAGCGAATTGGTGAAGTTGCTTATAAACTAGAGCTGCCACCAGATGCCAAAATTCACCCTGTTTTTCACGTCTCTATGTTGCGTCGTTGTATTGGCCAACCTGGCCAGCAGGTCACTCCCTTGCAACTCTCCGATTTTGTTCCCGAAAGTGACCACCATGATTTGAACCTTGAGGACAAGGTTCTTTCCGAGGGAGGGAGTATTGTTATGAACGGCCCACATGACCCAGGCCCAGACTTTAATGTTACACAAGAAGGCCCAAGTACCTTAAGGGATGAAGGGGAACACGTGAATAATAACCAACTCGCGGCGCCAAGGAGAAGCGCACGCTCTAAGCATCTTCCAGTGAAGCTGCGTGATTACCAGCTCCAAGCAGGAAAAGCGTGACTCTAAAAGAGAGCAGAATACATAAAGAAAGATATAGAACAAGGTATAAATAGAAGGCAGAATAGTAGAATAGGCAGGCTGTTGTTAGTACTGATTTCTTCTATTTCTCATCCCTCTCTCAGATCCTCCTTCTCATCCCCCTTTCTTTTTATCCTTGTAATTTCATTCACTTCTTCCTAATTTCCAGTAGTAGTTGAGTTGCTTGTAATTTCCCAATCTATTCAAGTAATCAAAGGAGTGTTGGTGGATCTGTTTGTTGCAGCGGTCCTTCCCGTTATGTTAAGGCGGGTTTCTCGAATAAATATTTTTTTTTGTAAGTCCATGGAAGCTATTGAAGTGTTCAATATAAGAGTTTTTTGCTTCCATTTTTCGAGTCAATCTGAGGCCTCTAGTTAATCAAGGACGAAGAGATTATATTCATGTATCAAAACCTTTAATGGTGATGGAATGAATCTCTCTTTCTTATATGCTAATTCTTGTCTAACTTTTTCTATAATTTTATGTTATGATAAGACGCGTTAACACCGAAATGAGAGACGAACAAATCAAAAACTCCAAGTGGACCAAGCAAATAAATGAAAAGTTTCAGTAGACGTGAGATAGCTTCTTCTTTTTTCTCAATTTATTTTTAAAAATCTAATCTTGATAACTCTAGGGTGTTTGTCAATTAAAGTTGAAAATATATTTGCCAAGTTGCAGTAGCTTTTCGTTTTAAATTACAAGTACCATATTCAGGTTCAGTGTACTGCAAAATACAAGCTGTTTTTCCTCATATCGAGACTCTGAAAAAGGGATGTCATGTTGTTCTTCTACACAACTAGGAGTACACAACTAGTCCGTACTTGTCAATGACCTATTATTAGTTGTTTCTTTTACTTTTCTTTATTAGTTTTTGGATTATACGAAATATCTATATAATACAACTCAGTAACAGATACACTTATATAACCCTTGTAAAATGTAAATCCTACACGAATATTAATTTGAGTAATGTTTTCTTCTTTGATTTTTGGCCAAATGGCCTCGTGACCACTCAAACTTGTATCAGTTTGTAAAGCCGATACATGAACTTATATTTTTCCCATTTGAGCACTCCAACTTGACAAAATAGGTACTAATAAACACTTTGACCGTTGGCCATGCCTACGTGGAAGCAGTGCAGCTGACATGGCTAAACATCACGCTGCCAAGGCGCGTGAATAGTAATGTTTTTACCAAAAAAAAAATTAAAATTTGAATAAAATATAAACAAAAATGAAAAAGAAAAAGAAAAAAAGATTTTTCTCTTTTCCCCTGCCCTTCCAACTCTCTCGTCTTCCCAGCAAAACTCCCACCCAGTTTTTTTCATTTCTCATCCTAATTTCTCTTCCCCCTCTCTTTTCTCTGTTTCTTTTTTCCTTCATTTCCCCTTCAATATTTTTTTCTAATCTCCACCGGCTATTTATGTCCCAACATCCCTCAACCACCGATGGTCGGAGAAAACTTGAGCTTTGTCGTTGTTCTATCATCGAATTCATCTTAATCAAAATAGCAGCAAAAAAAAGAAGGTAAATTTGCAATGATATTGGGCGACCTCCACTTTCAGAACCATGGATTTCTGTTTTTTTCTTGAAATTCCAATTTTTTTGTTTTGTTTGTTTTTGTTTGTTATGGTCTAATCGTGATCGATGTTGTAAATTTGATTTAGAAATAAGAGAGAGAAAGGATAATGAAGAAAAAGAGAAAGGAGAAGAAAGAAGAGTAAAGAAAGGAAGGGAGTAGGGCGAACGAAGAAGAAGGGGGGCGGTTGGGTACAAATTAATACTGTGCATATTTCAGGTGTTTTTTTTTTCTTCTTTTTTTTGCTGATTTTGTATTTAAAAATAGGACCCACAAATAACACATGGCAAGTAATAAATAGCTTAGCATGAGATGTTGTACATGTCAGCGCAATTACTGTACACGCTCTGGTTTATGTGTTTATTAGTACCCATTTTGTCAAGTTGGAGTGTTCAAATGGAAAAAAATATAAGTTAATGAATCGGGTTTGCAAACTGATACAAGTTTAAGTAGCCTGAAGCCATTTGGCCTTGATTTTTCATCCGGTGTCCAATACGTATTGGGCCCGACAGAATCTAACTTCTCACAGAAAAGTTTCATATTGGAGGATAAGTACTTCCTAACAAAAGCGATTTCATACCCAGAAACCTTAGACCGCTGGTTAAGGATGAAGGAGTACATACCGCTTCATCATAACTGTTGTTGGTAGTATTTTTATTTTATAAGGGTGTTACGTATTTAGTTTGAAAAATAAGTGGTATATGGATAACTAAGTATATTATAATATAATAACTAAAAGCCAAATTAAAACTACAACTACAAAAGTTCCTATATGATTTTATGAAAATCAAGAAAGAAAATAAACATTTTTTCACCACTTGAAAAACGTATTTTGAAACATGTATCATTCAAAAACTCTAAACCCACAAATTACAAAAATTACTAAGTAAGATATTGTACTAATTAGTAGTTATAACATTTTTTGCATTGTCAAACATGTAAAACATTTGTATTTTAAGAATTTATGCTATTATATCATCAAGAATTACTTTATATACTTGAAAAATTAACATGATGCTTTTTAGGATTTGATAGCCAATAGTCACCCGAAAAATATAATAGGTCATTAGTCAAGACTCTCGGATATCACTAAAGTAATAATCTTTATTATTAGAATAAAAAATTTGCAAAAATAATAAACAGCCATTATGTCTTAGTCTACATTGATCCGGAAAATTTAAAAAAAAAAATGTGGAGATTGTCAATTGTTAAAATTAGAGAAGAGCTTGATTTTCAAGCCGTACTTAGAGGGAAAAATGATTTTGACCCTATTTTAGGTGGTGTGATGTCCATTTGACCTACTTTACAAATTACAAGTGTCATTAGGCTTACTTGATCTAAACTTAAAAATTAAGATAGGAGAAATTAAAGCCGCAAATATTAATTATGAGAAAGTTAGTATTTGGACAGTGGTGGATCTAGAGCACAATTTATGGGTTTACTGCAATCCAGCAACTTTTGCGCAGACTCTATATATACATTAAGATATTCACTAAATATCTATAGATATTAGATCATATATCCAATTATTAATATTTTATATTAATTTGAAGTCGTTATTTGAACCCATAAACTTCATGGAAGTAATATCTTTATTAGTATAATTAATTTAGATAAATAATAAATTTCATCTCAAATTCCAGCTCTATAAATTAGATCTAGTGTACATTCTCTAAAATGGGTTTTCCTATTTTTGAGTTATAAACAACCAACGGTCACCGGTCACCAGTCACCAATAAAACAATAATAATAAGTCATTAATTAAAAATTGCGAAAACACAATTATACTATTTTTTAGAATGATTAATGTAGAAAAATAATAAATTTCATCTCAAATTTCACTTCTATAAATCAAATCTATGGTACATCCCCAAGAACTTCTATTCCATTACTTGAGTTCTATTTATCAATTTCCATATTCTACTATGAAAACCAAATTTATTATAGAAAAGCAAAGAAAAAGACGAAATGAATATACTATCTTTATGATCAGAATGATTAATGTAAAAAACTAATACGTTTCATCTCTACAATGAAAACTAAATTGATTAGCGAAAAGTAAGGGAAAAGATCGAAATAAAACACTTTTAATCGATATGATTAAAAAAACATTTGTCATTATATTTTATATTCGTTTTAACTCAGACAAATCAACAACTATTGAGAAAATATAATAGAAATAAAATATCAATGATATTAATATAGTTTGAAAAATAATTAAGATCCTCCTAAAAAATTTCATGTATATCCTCAAGAATTACCTTTTTAGTAATCTTACTCGAATTAATTAGTTTTTATAAATATATTAAGATTCATTAGTCAACGGTCGCCAAAAATAATAATAATAGCAAGTCACTAGTCAATATTTATGAAAATACGAAAGTAATATCTTTATCAGAATGATTAATTTTAAAGAAAATCATCTTAAATTTCAAATTCGTAAATAAATCTAGTGTACATCCTCCAAAATTACTTTTTTTCATTTCTTGAGTTCTAAACAGTCAACGAGCATTAGAAAAATAAACAGTAAGTCATTAATCACAAAACGCGAAAATCACGGAAGTAATATCTTTATCAAAATGGATAATTTAGAAAAATAATAAATTTATCACAAATTCTATTCTCCAAAATAAATCTAGTGTAAATCTTCAAGAACTACAAATTCCATTTCTTGAGTTCTATTTATAATTTCCATCATCTAGTATGAAAAACCTAAATTGATTAGAGTAAAAGCAAGGAAAAAAAAAAACCGAACAGAGGATGGTGAACCGGTATGATGTAAGCAGCAGAAACAAGTGGCAGGAAATGAAAGAAAACCGGCCAAAACCGGTTTTAGGGAATGATTCAATGAATGGTGCAAGAACTGGAGAAAGAGGTGATGATTTATGTTTATGTGGACTTGACACCTCACCAAATACATTATTTAATTAATATAATAAATAGTATTTTTTACAAAATAAATTAATGTACTATTGTTTTTATTATATATATACACTGCACCATAACTGTTTGTGAAAGCAAAAAGAACAATACTTGTTCTTCTTTAAACAACCTTCTTCTTTTTTTCTCTCTATTTTTTTTTGCCCTACTTAGATAGGGTTTCAGTGAAAATCTTGAACTTGTTTTTATATTTAAATGCAAATCTTGGTTGAAGATAAAATCTTGGTTGTGTTGTTGTTCTTGGCACAAAGTTTGGTTCTTTTTTCTCAGCAGCCATGCCTACTCTTGTTAATTACAGTGGTGAGTTATTTTTTTCCTCCTTTTTCTGCCTTTTGAATTATGGGGTTTTGAGTTTTAAGGATTTTAGCATCTGGGTTGTATTTATTTTCTGCTGATTTACTTGTTATGATTAGAAAAAGAGGAAAAAACTGAATCTTGAGAATAGATTCATTGTAGTGCTCAATGAATATGTTAGAGCTTGATTCTTGATATAGAAGAGAGAAAATCATTGCTTTGGCTATGAAGATGTTAATCCTATATAGACATTTTGTGTTTAGAAACTATATTAAACATTGGTAATTTCTAATAAAGAAGGTGTGAATAAGAATAATTGGTCTGATCATAGCTAGAATTGTCTGTTAATGACCTGATAATTGGTTCTTATTAGGTAGATCTTAGTTTTCAGTTTATTTGTAATGAGTTTTTACCTGGTCATGCTTTTGCTTCTGATATAATTTGGCTATATTTGAATGAAGTTAAAGGTAAGATTTTGGAGGAAATGAGGATGAAATTAGTATCTTGGGAATACTCCATTTTTAGTATGGTGTAGGATGTTGATTAGCAGAAAAGATAGCTAATGAAGTTGTTGCTATTTGATGTTCAGGTGATGATGAGTTCTATTCAGGAGGGTCACTTTGTTCAGCAGATTTGGGTCTTATGTTGTCACTTGGTCATGCTCAAGTTTACTGCCCTCTTAGGAAGAGGGCACGGATTAGTGGACCATTCGTTGTTGAAGAGCGGACAAAGAATCCATCCATTGAAATACTTCCCGACGAATGCCTATTTGAGATCTTCAGAAGATTGCAAGGAGGCCGCGAAAGGAGTGCAGCAGCTTGTGTTTCTAAGCGCTGGCTTATGCTCTCGAGTAATGTAAGGAGCTCTGAGATTTGCCATACCGATCTTTCAGTTGCTGATAATGGGGCTTCAAGTGATGCAAAAATGGTCTCAGCTGATGAAGATGTTGAAGTAGAGTGTGATGGATACCTTACTAGGTGTTTAGAAGGGAAGAAAGCTACAGATATTAGACTTGCTGCTATTGCAGTCGGAACTTCCAGCCGTGGGGGTCTCGGAAAGCTCTCAGTTCGGGGGAGCAACTCGGTTCGTGGTATTACTAATGTTGGTCTATCAGCAATTGCCCACGGTTGTCCTTCTCTTAGGGTTCTTTCATTGTGGAATGTTCCTTATGTTGGAGATGAAGGTCTTGTCGAGATCGCGAGGGGATGTCATTCATTAGAAAAGCTGGATCTATCCCAATGCCCCTCAATTTCCAACAAAGGTCTAGTTGCAATAGCAGAGAATTGCCCAAGTTTGACTTCTTTGACGATTGAATCTTGTCGAAATATTGGAAATGAGGGCCTGCAAGCTATTGGAAGATGCTGTACCAAATTGCAGTCTCTGACAATTAAAGACTGCCCTCTTGTAGGGGATCAGGGAGTTGCTAGCCTTCTCTCGTCAGGTGCTACAATGTTGAAGAAAGTGAAACTTAATTCCCTAAACATCACGGATTTCTCGCTTGCTGTCATCGGTCACTATGGCAAGGCGATTACCGATCTTAATCTCAGTTCACTTCGTAATGTCAGTCAGAAGGGGTTTTGGGTTATGGGTAATGCTCGTGGTCTTCAGTCTCTGGCTTCTTTGTCGATCACTTTGTGCAGAGGAGCGACCGATGTGAGTCTTGAAGCAGTGGGAAAGGGCTGTTCAAATCTTAAACATATGTGCCTTCGCAAGTGTTGCTTTGTGTCTGATGGTGGACTTGTTGCTTTTGCTAGAGCTGCAACAGGATCTCTTGAGAGTCTCTTGTTGGAAGAGTGCAACAGGATCACCCAAGCGGGCGTTCTAAATGCGGTTTCAAACTTCGGCAAGTTGAAGTCTCTTTCCCTAGTGAAGTGTATGGGAGTCAAAGATTTACCTCTACAAGCTTCATTGTTGTCACCCTGTGAATCTCTTCGATCGTTGTCCATCCGCAGCTGTACAGGATTCGGTAGCACTAGCTTAGCGATGGTTGGTATGCTGTGTCCTCAGCTACATCACTTGGATCTCAGTGGGCTTACCGGAATAACAGATGCCGGGCTTCTCCCTCTTTTGGAGATGAGCTCCAAGGCAGGACTTGTCAAGGTTAATCTTACCGACTGCCTTAACTTGACCGATGAAGTTGTGTTGTCGCTAGCTAGGCTACATGGCGAGACCTTGGAATTGCTGAATCTTGACGGATGCAGGAAGGTTACAGATGCAAGCTTGGTTGCAATTGCTGATAATTGTCCATTACTTAATGATCTCGATGTTTCTAAGTGTTCAATAACTGATTCTGGTGTAGCTGCTTTATCCCATGGAGTGCAAGTAAATTTGCAGATTCTTTCGATATCAGGTTGCTCCATGGTAACAAACAAGAGCGTTCCAGCTCTTAAAAAGTTGGGGGAGAGCTTAGTCGGTTTGAATCTCCAACACTGCAACGCGATCAGTAGCAGCAGAGTTGAGCTTCTTGTTGAGGACTTGTGGAGATGTGATATCCTCTCCTAAGCCAACTGAGGGCACAAGGCAATGCATCCAAAAGGGAGGATTCGGAAGATGAGGAGTAATAGCTATTTGGTTCATTCAGCTTGGCGGGATTGAAGCAAACATGATCGTGGTTTTTGTGATACCTCAGTGGCTTGGTTGTTTTCCAGGAAACTATGACAAAACAACTTGTTCCGCCATATTTTTTGCAGGCTTCATTTACTTAAAGCCTGTTCCAAAATTTTCGGTCTCCTGTTTTTTGGAGGCTGCCTCTTTCACAGCCATGGTATCCTGAGAATACAGTTACCAAAGTCCTGGTATTAAAGTTTTCACTCGTGTTGCTCCTGCTCCTGTCTTTGATAAACAATGGGGGGTTTGAATCACTAATGCTTCTCTTAAACTTGCATGGATGGATTGGTCATGCACTTGCCTGGTACTACACTGCAGAATCAGAGAGTCTTTTCATAGTTTTCATTCGTGTTGAGGAGTTGTTGTTGTAAGCGTTTACTTTGTGTCGTAGTCTGTAGTTGCATTGCACAATTTCTGTAAACATGGTGTCTGTTAATCAGGGGCTTGGTAATGGCAACCTAGGTTGTTCTTCTTTGTCCAAGACCTAGTTTTTGATAGGATTATCAAAAGTCCTATTTGTGTAACAGGTTCCTTGTATTCCAGATTGTTACTTTGCAACTACCTTGTTATGTAATAAACTGTCTGTTTGTTTGTCCAAATTGTGTTTAATGTTTCTCTTCCTTACCCTGTGAAAAACATGCATGTTTCTACCATATTATTATGCACTCTCAAAACTTGATGATTTATCCTACTTGACATAGCAAGTGCTTGTGTTCTACTAAAATTTTCCTTCTTCAATGTTACTTATAGTACTAGTCCCTTTAATTGATGTAGTCTTATAATCACCTATTATAATGGTAGATAGTGGGGCGATTGGTAGGCTTGAAAGGGAATCAAATGAATTGTAATGAATTGTAATTACAATTGAAACGATCGAAAAGGAAATGTGAGTTAATATATGCTCTAAGGTTGAAAATATCATAAAAAATCTTAAAAAAGAAGAGTACCTTAATTACATAATTCTAAAAAGGAAATCGGGAATTGAATTCATTATAAGATCTATTTATCCTTTTTAGAAGATGGTATGCCGCCACTCGGACTCGAACCGGCAAGAGGATATTTCTGTACATAAAAGGAATTCGAATTGGGGCTTTACGTTCGTAGAAATGATCAAGAAGTACTCCCCATGATTCTGATCCAGAGTATGTTTCTATCCACTGAGTAACTAAATAACTATCAAGAACGAAGTAATCTTTTACTTTGGTTAAAGGCCCTTTTTCTGAGAAAGAAGAATAGGATATTTACATGAGGTTCCTCTTTAAGAAGTAAGGGTTGAAAGTGCGTAGTCCCTCGATTCAAGGATTTGAATGATAACATCTTTATGGGTATAGATCAATCGACTATGTTTTGCTACAAAACTCTATGATAAAACAATAGCTGTGTTTGAGCTGAGGGAATCATTTCAAGTAATTAAACATGTGTGTCAAAGTTTTCAAGTGCATTTCGTTGTTTTCCTTAATCTTTTTATTTACAATCTCTCTCTGCTTAGCACTCTTCCTGTGGGTCGAACTTCCTTTTCAGTTGCTCTCTACAACTAAGAGCCTGTTTAGCCAAGCTGCTGGGAGGCCAAAAGAATTTTTTTTCCTCTAAAAAAGTAGTTTTTAAAAAATTTAAGCTGTTTGGCCAATACAGAGAAGTACTTTTGACCTGCAGGAAGCAGTTTTTTCTGCTTTTGGGAAGAAGCAGAAAATTCTAGCTTCTTCCAAGAAGCAGAAGCAGAAGTGAAAAATTAATTTATTCAAGACAAAACTATCCTCACCATAAATTTATATTTTTCAAATTATCCCTTACTAATTTAAGTTTTTTCTTTTCATTTTTGTTTCTAGTTTTTACCATTCTTTTAAAATTAAAGATATCATATACATGAATCATATTGTAACTTTCCAAATTCTGTATTTACTTTTCTTGTTTTTGATTTGTTCTTTGTGTAATGTCTTGTAAACTTTCCAAATTATCTTTTTCTTTTTTCACACCAAAACAAATTATCTACTTATATTTATAATTTCTTCTGTTATATGCTTTTAGTTTCCGAATCTTTAAAACATTTATCAAATCTAATTTGTGAAGATTACCTACAAATAGGTAATAATTTACAATTCCATGGCATCATCTATCTATATATTATTAAAACAAGAAAAAAAAGCATTACACATTAAGCCAAGTAGCAACCTGAAAATAAGCCACTTGGCAATTTAGGACAAAGTTATAAGTAAGGTTAGGTAATACTACTAAATAGTTGCTTTTTGAATTTAAATTTTAAAAAAATTAAACTATACATTATGTTATTAATAATTAGTTACTCTTTCTAAATTTGAATTTAAACATACTTACCTATTTTTTACAAAAAAAAATTATTTTTATATATTTAAATTATTTCTGTTTTACGTTCAATCCCATCTTTCAAGTTTGACACTCGGAATCATCTAGTTACAATTACCATGGCTATACGTAATTTCATCCGGCGACATTCTTCTAACGATAAGGAATTCAATTATTATGCTAATGAAGACATTACTGCAGAGATTGAGGAAGGAGATGAGCCTTTGGATGCAAGGTAAGTCTTCTACTAATATGGAGGCATTGTGTGATAGACGTAGAGCTGAAATTGTTGAGAAATAATATCATGTGTGAGTGACTTTACTTATTATTTTTATGGTAGATTATCAATATACAGTAATTTGTGGAATAGATTTCTAATTCATATTGAATGATGTATTTTGATAATTCAAATCATCATGTAACAATAGGCAATTATACTAGATAATAATATATGCTTTGGTATAACTATATATGTAAAATTGATTTGAATCTTTATTATGTTTGTTTACTTTATGTTTTATATTTTAATTAAAATAAATAAAAATAATAAAAGTCTCTTACGGTAAATATTTGAGTTTATTTTTCTCTTTAAAAGAATTATAAGACCTTGGTACTATCCTTTTTGATAATTTAACATTTAAAAGTAGTTTTTAGAAAGATTGGCCAAATACAATTTGTTTACCAAATGTTGCAAAAAGTATTTCTTAAATGAATTGGCCAAAAACAAACTGTTTTTTTTTTTCAAAAGTACTTTTAAAAATAAGCAGATTTTGGCAGTGATCACGCCCAACTATGCCTTATAAAAGACAAAGCGGTCATTGCAAATATAATCCGGTTTACAAATCCGGAGTCGAATCCTCAAGGAACTAACCTATCTATTACAACTCTTAGTGATGCTAGTGCAAGCTCAAACAATTCCCGGATGCAAGATTTTTATCAATAAATAATGGGATTTGTTTAACTAAAGTAAAATGATATTAAAACTAACAACATTCCAATTAAAGATAATTAAATGGTAGAGAGATCTAAGGTAGTGATTTTCCCAATTGCTAGATTAATTCTTAACTCTTTTGCTATAATCTCACCGTAATACTCTATGAGGATTATGAGCTATGGGTTACCGCAATTATCTCTCGATCAACTACGATAATTTACTAGAGCATTCTCTCGAACTACCCTAGCTGATAATTTATGCAGCTCTGAATTATCCCATTAAAGTTTCGTTATTTCTAACCCCACTTTTAAATTCAAGTAATGAATCTCTTCAATTACCCAAAAGTGGTGTTGTTCAACAACAATCTAACCTAGTATTCTTTCTCAAGAAACACAAGGCGATTAGACACGATTAATCAAGGTCCCGTTCAATTAATCACCATACAAAATATAGTTGAACAATCATATAATAAACCCGGCTCGATTATAACAAAAATGAGTTAAAACTTCATCTAACACTTGGTTCCATCAACCCTAGACTAAATAATTAGCTACCCATAATTGTTTTCATAATCACAACAACAAAATTCATAATCAATGATCAACACAAAAGGAAGAAAGATAGAACTCGCTGCCGAATTTTCCTCCTTGCCTCTTGCCTCTTCTTGCCTTCAACAAAACTATAAAAACCTTCTTTTCTTCTTTTTGGGCGAGCTGGACCTCTTATAGGTTAAGGGGGATTGTCCACAAACTTCCAAAATTACCCCTGATATTAAAATTTTTCGAAGAACTAGCGCTGTCGCGCATGGACCCGCATATTGGACTCCATTCTGCTAGGCTTCTATTGCTCGAGCGCGGCCGCGCTAAGACCGCGCTTGGCCCGCGCTCCTGGGATCAGCATTTTATTCTCTTTTTTCTTTCTTCTTTCACGCGCATTCACCTCCGAGTGGCTTTCCTTGCTTTAAATTAGCTCCAAACACTGTCCTATTTCCTCATAATTAAGACTTGCTCCTAGAAAACACAAAATTCATAATTAAAGCCATTTTTTGTCAGTTAATCTTCATATAACAGTGAAGCATAGCCAAGTTAGGGCGTAAATGGTTGCTAAACTACATGAATCTAGCCTATTATCAACACTCCACACTTAAATCATTGCTCGTCCCTAAGCAATCAACCATAATCTACAGAGGTTCCTTCGCTAAGCACTTCCCTAACGTATCACACCAAGAACATACCACAAAAGTTGCGTCTAGGAGTGTAACATCTTTGCCTCAAGAGTTGACTCTCACGTGCCATGCAATATTCCTAACTTACTCACTTTACTCTATACAGAGGTCAAGACGTACTTTTCCTTCATGAATCAAGTGCCCTCACAGCGCAATGAGAGTAGTTCCACAAGTAATGAATATTTAAGAACAATTAGGAACGCAGATAGACAAAATTCACTCACTCTCAGAAAGACATTCATATGCCACAAAGATGCACCATAGGCTTGCCCGTAGTGTACTACTCTACTAATCGAGCTCATTCAGTATAAGATCAATTAGGACTTTATTTGGTTGTAATGTAGGCTAAAGGACGGGTAGGATATATTTGGATATAGTGACTACACCTCCCTAAGCACTTTAATACAATTACTTTCACATTCAGAACCATACTTATGTCAAACCAAACATTCCACCTTTACTTCAATTCATAATACCCCAAACTTCTTTAAGCACAATTACATCAAGTCACCACTTATCAAGGACTAATTTTTTTAATAATTCAAGTGTCGCTCATTTTTTTCTCAAAACACTGCACCTTTCTCCTTATTTCATTAGTTCCACTCGAAAGCCAAACCAACCACCCCACACTTTAACTTTTACACAATTCATAACAATTCAAGTGCTCACGGGAGGTAAAGAGGTTCAAACAGATGGTCCATTCAAACAATTGGGTAAGGCTTGTAATGTGGTTGCCAAAGAAACAGGCTTATAGGCTCAACGGGGTTAACTACGATACATCACATTTAGGTGGGTATACTTTATATATCTGGCTTAACAAAGAAACGCCTATATCACTTCTAAGACTGAATAAACTACTATTTCGCTTTGCAAACACACAGGGCAAGTTCTAGGCATCAAATGCAGTGCACAGAATACAATAAATGTCACACACACATGGCACATGACTCACTCCAGATTGGCTCATCAACACACTCTCGTCTGAGTACTTAAGTCAAGTTACGAACATACAATTTAAGGCACTCTAACAAGAATCAACAACTGAGACTAAACGTCACCCTACAGTGTCTATTGTGTTCAAGGCGTAACAATGTTAAGGGATTCTCTTTCTATCTCAGCTCACAACCCATAAATACC